TTCCCAAAAACATTACTTTTTCCCGTGTAGTTTTATCTGTAATTTTAAATGTTTGATTTAAAATTGCTTGATTAAAAATTTTTTTAATTAATTTTAAAAAAAACTGATGTCTACTACCCCCAAATTCCCCCCCAAACAATCTTTTTGAGTTCCTGCAAATATTTAGCTGCCAGCCTCAAAAAGTTCTCATACAAGGCTTTAGAAAAAATTTTCCAAAAAATTAGAAGCTTCCCTTTTTCTATAAAAAGAAAACTGAAATTTTCATAGTTGGGGTTTTTTTCCCCCCCCAAAAAGGGCATTTCTTTTCCCTGAAACATAATTCCCGCCCCATGAATTGGGGTTTTTTTTTCTACATTTAAATTTCCCAAATTTTTACATTATTTTTTTTCATTTTTTTTATTATTGCTCCTTCGTCTTTCAACAAAATGGCCAAATTTCCCCCCCGAGGGGGGGCCCAAAAAGAAAAAAAAGTTTCTTTTTTTAAAAATTTTTTTTAAAGTAAACAGGAGAAGGGGTTTTCAAACCCCCTTTCTCCTCACATTAAATTTTAGCCCGTGAAAGTAGGACTTGGGGAAAAGGGGGGGATGAAAAGTTCTTTTTGAGGGGTTCTGAAACCCAAAAAAAGAGAGGGTATGTAGAAAAAAATAAATTTTGGTTGGAGGGAGGGAGTATGGGGGGGAAAGGGGTTTTATTTAGATATTGGGGGGTCCCCAAGTACCGATGCAAACTATGAGAGGGAAGGTGAATTTATAGAATTTGATTAAAAAAAAGGGGGGGTGGTGCATTGAGGCATGTTTTTGGAAAAAAAAAACAGCATATTTTGTGGAGTCAAAAATGGAAAAATTTTCCCAAAAGGGAAATTGGTTTTTTTAAAACTTATATGGGGTTTGAAGGGACAAAGGGTTTTTAACGCGCCGCGAGGGGGCCCTAGGGTCAGTTGGGGACCCCGCTGTTTTAGACAAAATCAGCACAGAATCTGGAGCACAGAAATTTTTGCAGGGGATAAGAGGTCACCCAAAGGGTTTTAATTCAGAAAGGGTGAGAAGGGATAAATTGACATGAGTGTATAAATCTGATGTTTGGGAAAAAAGCAGGGGGGGGAGGGGTCCCCTTTGGAAAAGTTAAGAGGGGGGTGAAAGAGGGTTTTAATTTATGGGGGTTGAGCAACAGCAGGCTTGTGTTTAAAAATTTTTAAAGGGGGAGTGCTGAAAGGGCAGGATTTTTAATGGAAGGGGCCCGTTGGGGGTGTGAGCAAGGTAACTTTCAAAGAACAAAAATTTAGGGGAAAAAAAATTAAAGGGGGGAGGGGGGAAAGGGGGGTGGGGGAAAAGCAGTCAGAGGGCCCGGGCTAAAATTTTAATGTCAGCACCTTTTTGGAAAGGGTAGAATGGAATGGATAATGAGGGGAAAATGTTTTCCCTTTTTCTTGTCACCCTAACCCTTTGGGCCCTGGAGGTTTAAAAAAAAAAAAAAGTGTAAAGGGTCTTCCATTTTTTTTACTTATCACATAGTGGTTCCCTTTTACAATTTTTTATTAAATAGGATAAGGGCTTTTAAAAAAAAATTTTATATTGAGCAAAAAAACAAAACAGTAGACTTGCAAGCACTCGCATAAGTTTTCTAGTCTTTTTAAAGGCGGGCCCAAAATGACAAGACCCCGCAATTTAGTAGGGACCTTTGGTGGGCAGCCCTTACCCCAGCGGTTATATAACAAAAATCCTTTTAAAGTCCTTTTCTTCTTTTTTTCACATTTTTGTAAAGTTAGCCTTAAAAGGTATATTTAAAAATTTTTTTGGGTACCTATTTTTTTTTGCCCCCCCCCAAAAGTTTTTTGGGAAAGTTGAAAAAAGGTTTAAAGTAAGGGTTTTTTCCCTTTTAAATTTAAAGAAAGTTTTTTCTGTATTTCATTGTTTTTTATGACTGCTTTCACAGTGTTAAAAAAATTTTCTAAACAAAATGCTTATATTAATATTACAGTTCCCCCGGACCCTCAGCTAACGATAAATTAAATTTCCTTTTCCCGAGGTCATCGTTAGACGAAATTTTCGTTAGCCCGAATTAAAAATTTTTCCCCAAAAAAAAAATGGAAATCAAATTAATCCCTTCCTACACCCCAAAGTTTTGAAAAAAAAAAATTTTTTTTTTTCTGAAAAAGACATTTTCCTACGCAAAACAAAAGAAACATGCACAATTAAATACGTACAAATAAAAATACATTACAACCCCCCCCCCCCCCCCCCCCCCTTTTTCCCTTTTTTTAAGATCTGGTGATGATTTTATGGGTGGGAAGGGGAGATATGGATGTTATTAAATTTTTTGGAAAGGGGGAAACCCCTTTCCCTGAGGGCTTGAGGTTAGCAAGTCCTTTTTCCCGGGGGTTTTTCCCCTTCTTTTTTTAATACCACTAGGGCCAATTTTAGGGTCACTGGACCTCGTCACAAAAACAAAAACTGTCCTAGAGCTCTGTACCTTGCATTCCTATAAATTTTCCTAAAATGGGCCACCTGTATTGTAAAAGTCACCCGCACGGCTTTTTCAGTTGCTGTTTTAGGGTAATTTTTTTTTGTCCAAAAAGGTTTGCAGTTCAACCCACCTTTTTCCCCAAAATTTTCCCTTTAAACTTTTAGTAGGCAGCTTCTTTTAAATTTTTTTTCCCCTCCTCTGAAGCAATTTTTCCCCAGGTCTTTGGGCCCCTTTCTGTTTGGGGATGCCTTGCAGCTCACCATTTGGTTTTATTTTTTCAAACGTCCTCCCCCACCAACTCTTCCACATCCTCCCTACTAATCTCCAACTCCAAGGACTTCCCCAGTGCCACAATAGATTCCACAACTGGCATAGGCTTCTCAGGGTTATGCCCAAACCTTTCAAAATCCCTCTTTTCTACACATTCTGGCCAAAATTTCCTCCAAGCAGAGTTCAAGGTCCTCTTAGTCACTCCCTCTCAAGCCTTACCTATAAGGTTTACACAACTGAGGATACTAAAATGATCTTTCCAAAACTCTCTTAGGGTCAATCGAGTGTCTGAGGTCACTTCAAAGCACTATTGAAACATAGCTTTTGTGTAGAGTTTTTTGAAGTTTGAAATACCTGCTAGTCCATGGGCTGCAGGAGAGGAGTGGTATTAGGAGACAAAAATTTGACCTTGATGAAGCTCATGTCCCCATAAATTCACTCTGCCAAGTCTGAAGGATGACCAGGAGCATTGTCTAATACCAGGAGGCACTTAAGGTCCAATTTATTTTCCGGGAGGTAATTTTTCACAGTGGGGGCAAATGCATGGTGTAACCAGTCATAGAAAAAGTCCCTAGTGACCCATGCCTCACTGTTTGCCCTCCACATCACACAAATTAGCCTTGAGAACATTGTTTTTCCTGAATGCTCTGCGAGTTTCAGAGTGATACACCAATCACCACTTTGCAATCACCACTAGCATTACCACACAGCAAAAGAGTAAGTCTGTTTTTCATAGGCTTATGTCCTGGGAGTGCCTTTTCCTCCTGAGTAATGTAGGGCCTGTTTGGCATTTTCTTCCAAAACAGGCGTGTTTCGTCACAATTAAACAGTTGTTCAGCCTCTATGTACTCCTTGAATTCCTTCACATATTTTTCAGCAGCTTTTTGGTCCGAACTGGCAGCCTCACCATGCCTTATCACACTATGTATGCCACTATGGCTCTTAAATCTCTCAAACGAACCTTTGCTGGCCTTAAATTCACTCACATCACCTCTAGTTGCAAGCATTTTTTTAATTAAATTGTCATGCAACTTCCTAGCCTTTTCACATATGATCGCTTGAGAGATGTAATCTCCTGCTATCTGTTTTTCGTTTATCCACACCAATAACAATCTCTCAACACCTTCGAGTACTTGCCATCTCTGTTTTGAAAACAAACTTGCACCTTTTGCAAGAACAGCTTCCTTGATTGCCTTTTTGTTGGCCAAGATAGTAGCGATGGTTGATTGGGGTTTGGTATACATCCTGGCCAGCTCCGAGACACGCACTCCACTTTCGTACTTTGCAATTATCTCTTTATTTCAATTCCATACTAATTCTCTCCCTTTTTTACCACAGGGTTGGCACTAGAAGCTTTCTTGGGGCCCATGGTGACTTATTTTGCAGTTACAAGCACTAAAAACACTGGGATAGTATAAAATGTTCCGAATGTATGCGTGGATATGACTGCGCTGGCTGGCTTGTAAACACTAGCACACACGGCTGAGGCATGCTCAGGCCACACGTGGACGCGTACCAGACGAATCACGTTGGGCAAGTTTTTCATTGTTGGCCAGGCCAAAACTTTTACGCTCAAACTCTTCGTTAGATGGATTTAACGTTAGACAATGCTTTCATTAGCCGAGGGTCCACTGTACTAGCATTGTACTGTTAAGGAGGTTATTATTTGTGTGTGGTGACTAGGTCAACCGTAAGGCTCTGTAGATTACATTTTTAACTAGGATATAAATGCAGCAGTGTAATTTATATAAACTGGCCCAGCTATATCTGCTCAATTTCTTCCCCCTCTGTTTTGCCATTTTACTAAATACTATACTGTTGAATCATATAATTCTCTTTCTTCATGCCCTTTGCTGTTGCCTTTCCATCATTTTTTTGTCTCGTACATTTGTACATGTATGTTTAACCAAGATAGTTCACTCTCTTTTCCCAAACAATAGCAAATGCTTCGTTCTTATGAAAACCAAATTAGCACAAGTAAACAATTCAGTGTGCTTTGAAGAGTTCTTAATTAACACTTGAAGGTATAAGAAATACCTATGGGTTACAATGTACTTGTGATTGCTGCCTCCTGCCTGCCCTTCAAGGACGTTACTTCAAGAAATACTGAACACTAAAGATAAAGACTAATTACAAAATCTTGTAATTAGACTTTATCTTTGTGCTACAGTATTATCCATACTTATTTTTAATAATAGACAGGGACAAAATTAAATATAGTTTGAAAGAGGTTTATGTGATTATGATGATGATGATCAATTTTTTAGGGATAATGAACAGTCAACACCAGAATGTGGAGTGTTCAACTTTAACATGAATGCATTAACTACTCTCTTGAGAAAGCAAGCTGAAAGTAATCCTTCTGCATCATACTTCAATGTTGACATGATCAAATATCAGGTAAGTATCTTTTAAAGTACACTGCATGTTACTGTACACATTGTGAAAGCCACATTTTTTTATTTTTAACAACATGCTAGCCACCTCCCACCAAGGCAGGGTGACCTGTAAAAGAAACACTTTTACTATCATTTACACTATCACTGTCTAGCCAGAGGTGCATAAACATGACAGTTCAGATGTCACTCTAAACAGCAAATATCCCAGACCCCTCCTTTAAAGTGCAGGCACTATATACTTCCCACCACTAAGCCTCAAGTCTGGATAAATGATTTCCCTGAATCCATTCACAAAACATTACCCTGCTCATACTCCAACAGCTCCTCCATTTGTCTCCACTCCTAACATGCTCCACATGCCTCCTATATTTCCAAACCCCTTGCACACTAAACCATCTTTACTCCCTCCATCCTTTCCTAGGATGACCCCTGCCTCTTCTTCCCTCCACTACACCCTCCAAGTCATCCTATTTTTCTCCATCCTCTTTAAATGACCAAACCACTTGAGCAATCCCTCTTCAGCCCTCTGGATAATACTTAAAGTAACTCTGTACCTCCTAATCTCCAGACTACAAATTCTCTGCATAATATTTATGCCACACATTGCCCTCAGGGGAAGGTACCTAGGGACTGGCAGAGAGCATGTATAGTCCCTTTATATAAAGGGAAGGGGGACAAAAGAGATTGTAAAAATTATAGAGGAATAAGTTTACTGAGTATACCAGGAAAAGTGTACGGTAGGGTTATTATTGAAAGAATTAGAGGTAAGACAGAATGTAGTATTGCAAATGAGCAAAGAGGTTTTAGAGTGGGTAGGGGATGTGTAGAACAAGTGTTTACATTGAAGCATATATGTGAGCAGTATTTAGATAAAGGTAGGGAAGTTTTTATGGCATTTATGGATTTAGAAAAGGCATATGATATAGTGGATAGGGGAGCAATGTGGCAGATGTTGCAAGTATATGGAATAGGTGGTAAGTTACTAAATGCTGTAAAGAGTTTTTATGAGAACAGTGAGGCTCAGGTTAGGGTGTGTAGAAGAGAGGGAGAATACTTCCTGGTAAAAGTAGGTCTTAGACAGGGATGTGTAATGTCACCATGGTTGTTTAATATATTTATGGATGGGGTTGTAAAAGAAGTAAATGCTAGGGTGTTCGGGAGAGGGGTGGAATTAAATTATGGGGTATCAAATACAAAATGGGAATTGACACAGTTATTTTTTGCTGATGATACTGTGCTTCTGGGAGATTAAAGAAAAATTGCAGAGGTGGACGAGTTTGGGAGTGTGTGTAAAGGTAGAAAGTTGAAAGTGAGCATAGAAAAGAGTAAGGTGATGAGAGTATCAAGTGATTTAGATAAAGAAAAATTGGATATCAAATTGGGAAGAAGAAGTATGGAAGAAGTGAATGTTTTCAGATATTTGGGAGTTGACGTGTCAGCGGATGGATTTATGAAGGATGAGGTTAATCATAGAATTGATGAAGGAAAAAAGGCGAGTGGTGTGTTGAGGTATACGTGGAGACAAAAAGTGTTATCTATGGAGGCAAAGAAGGGAATGTATGAAAGTATAGTAATACCAACACTCTTATATGGGTGTGAAGCTTGGATTGTAAATGCTGCAGCAAGGAGGCAGTTGGAGGCAGTGGAGATGTCCTGTCTAAGGGCAATGTATGGTGTAAATATTATGCAGAAAATTCAGAGTGTGGAAATTACGAGAAAGTGTGGAGTTAATAAAAATATTAGTCAGAGGGCTGAAGAGGGTTTGTTGAGGTGGTTTGGTCATGTAGAGAGAATGGCTCAAAGATCACTTACCCAAAACCAAATAAATACTGAATAACTGAACCTTATAAATTGTATATCTTAAATGTTTCTCACAATTATATCACATAAATGTTAAACCTAAAACCCAATCTAACAGAATACTCCATTCGACTGAATGTACAGCAATGCATGCAACCATATGACCTGTCTTTGTAATACTCATTTGTGCTTTATAGTTATCTGTTTACAATAATGTCTTATCACTGATTTCATCATTGCTTAGTTAATCTTCAGTTAATTGTAAGCCAGCCCGTAATGCTATGCATATAAGTGGCTTTGGCATGCTGCTCTTACCTGTATTTTTTTGTACCTCTGTATGTATGCTCAAATTACTAAATAAATAAATAAATAAATAAATAAATGACATGGAGAGCATATAAATCTGTAGGGGAAGGAAGGCAGGATAGGGGTCGTCCTTGAAAAGGTTGAAGGGAGGGGTAAATGAGGTTTTATGGGCAAGGGGCTTGGACTTCCAGCAAGCGTGTGTGAGAGTGTTAGATAGGAGTGAATGTAGACGAATGGTATTTGGGACCTGATGAGCTGTTGGAGTGTGAGCAGGGTAATATTTAGTGAAGGGATTCAGGGAAACCGGTTATTTTTATATAGCTGGACTTGAGTCCTGGAAATGGGAAGTACAATGCCTGCACTTTCAAGGAGGGGTTTGGGATATTGGCAGTTTGGAGTGATATGTTGTGTATCTTTATACGTATATGCTTCTAAACTGTTGTATTCTAAGCACCTCTGCAAAAACAGTGATTATGTGTGAGTGAGGTATGAATTATGTGTGAATGATGATGAAAGTATTTTCTTTTTGGGGATATTCTTTCTTTTTTGGGTCACCCTGCCTCGGTGGAAGACGGCCAACTTGTTTAAAAAAAAATTGCACTCAGACTCGACATCACTGCCTCCAGCCTCCAACTCACTGCAACATTCACAACCCATGTCTCACACTCAAGTAAGGGTGTTGGTACTACTGTACTCTCATACATTCCCTTCTTTGCCTCAATGGATAATGTTCTTTGTCTCCACAGATACCTTAATGTACCACCCACCTTTTTCCCTTCATCAGTTCTGTGATTTACCTTGTCTTTCATATACCCATTCACCTACATGTCAAATACAACAGTTCGGATGTCCCTCCAAACAGCAAATATCCAAGTAAAGGTGCAAATATATTTTAAATGTGCAGCAGAGAGTACACAGATCTCAATGATTTACAAATCTCATTCCACACTGCTCAGTTGCCAGGCTCCTCAGCATGCATGCACCCATTATCCAACCAGTAAGAGCCATCAACCTTGGAAACATGAAAATAAGTCACATTGTTTGACTGTTTGGTTAACCTAGTTTAAATTTAAATAATTTGCTTTTTGGCTGAATCCCAGTGTTAATAACATGAAATTGTAATAAATTTGGAATTAATAAGGCATCTGTCTGTCAGTTCCACACCCTGTTTTCTGGTATTGAAACTAGTGGTGGAGTAACAGGTCCTGGTTTCACTGTTTACTTGTGTAGTTAGGCAGTATTACCCATGAGGCAGTACATGGACCTGTCTTGTCTTAGATTTTTTCAAAGGCCTGAAGAAGTTGTAGGATACCTAAACAGTTGTGCCGAGGTAAAACGTATTGGCAGGTGTCTTATTTGAAGTTGTATCAGAGCACTGCACACAAAAGGTTAATAGACTGTCGCAACCCTAAATCCTGAGGTATTTCCTGGTGTCGAAAAATTTTTGAAAAAAAAAAAAACTCATGAAATGATAGAGAATCTTTTCCCGATGGTAATGACACCAAAAGAACGAAATTTGATGGAAAACTGACGAAATTATGCTCTCGCGAAGTTAGCTACCTCAGCGATATTTACGAATCTGTGGTTTCGCCCACTTTGAGCCCTATTTTCGGCTAATTCCATTGTTTCAATCAAACTCATAGATATTTCTTTAGAAATCCATATTTTCTATCGATTGAGTACAAGAAACTGCCCATTTACCGATTTCAACTACCCAATAACATAGTCAGAAATTTGCAATTTGGCCAATTTCACGAAAGCTAAAAAATATGACAATTTCAAAATAGGGTCCAGAATGAACAATGCAGACATTCCTGGCTCTAAAGAACATTTTCTTTGTTCATCAATCACATCTCCAGGCTCCTCTGATATGATTACTCTTGCTTTCTATTTTGAATTTTTATTCAAACAAAAAATAGAAGATTTACTGTTATGCGGACTACTGCAATATTGTAATAATTGTATAAATAATGTCAACCCATTCATGACTGCATATTAGAATGGCTAGGAGGACATTTATTAGATAATGACATCATTTGTTTACTTTTGAACATCAGCAAAAATCAAACATTTCCCCTGTTTTGAGCTCCATTTCAAGGTTCTTTTCATAGTAAAACCAATCAAAATCACCTCTGTTTCTATATGTTTTCGATTCTATCAAATGAGACCAAGAAAACGATAATACAACCATAAATACTATGAAAATAGACCAGAAAGTTGGCATTTTAATTGAAAAAAACGGAGTTTTTTTTTCTCATGCACTGCATGCTGCAGGATTTTTTTATATGGTGCACACTGACCACATAGACCCATTCTCTCACATGTGGGCCTACTAGCTTTCTGCTGCTTGACTTGAATCCGCTAGAATTTATGAGTACATATATGTCAAACACGGTGGCTCGTAAGACGTATATATATATGACCAAAACAGTCAAAGGGTCAATATAAATGTGAGTAATTAGAGGTTTTATTAATCTATTAAAAAAATGTGAGCTCTCTGTATGTGTAATGTAATGTTAAGCTCTCTGTGTATGCAGTGTAAACCACTTAAGAGTTATTGTAAAAAAATATCAAGTAGTACTGAGCTTGGATTATACCATATAAGCAAAAAAGTGCACATTGACCACCCACTCCAGTTGTGTCAGAGTAAATTTACTGCATGTAAGTACATTCCTCGTAGAAATAGAGCTGCTGCATATAATCTAATTCACACAAGGCAAATATGCAGACAATGAGGTAAACCTGTTCATTTTTATTGTCACATAATTTTTATTATAAAATTGATACACTAAACCCTTGGTTAAAGAGACCTTGATTTAATGAACAAGAAAATAAAAGATAAAAGATAGTGGGTTAAATGATCCAGAAACAAGAAAGTCCATTGGTTACTTAATT